GTATCACAGTGGGGGTGGGTGTACAACATTTTAAAGATGCACAGGAGTGTGCTTAGCAGACAGTTATTCAGCTGTTATGCCACACAGAACAAGACCAATGGGATTTTGCAAATTTGTTAGATCTCTGTCTCAGTTGCTTGTGACCAGGACAGGTAAGTATGAGAGTCTGGTGTTTCACACTACAACTTCTAAGCTTCAGCCAGTGTGCAAATCCACATATTTTCCTTCCCCTGCACAACTGCCTTGCTTGCTGTCAACATTAAGAATCATTGTTCTGACTCTGAGTGTGTCACGTGGTGGGTGTGGGAGCTTTGTGATTTGGCAGGTTCAGCCTTTGGCATCAGCGTTTTCTCTGCTATGGCATCATAGGACAACTTCAGTTCATGCCAGGCATTAGCCTCATTCTACTTTCTGACCTGTTCTAGCACTGGGCAGCACTATTCAGTATAGCACTCATGATTGGTATTCATAAACCCTTTCCCTCGGCTTTTTTTTTTCCTACCACACCTTTTTCACGTGTTCCCCTACAAACATCATGTGCTCATTGTAACCTTTATGGACACATTCAGCCTTCTGGGTACACTTACCGTTCACCCCTGCTTCACCTGACATGTCTGTTATTTTCCTATATATAGGCAATGTGTTTAAAATCTAAAGTTTCACAAGCTTTGAATTTAGTTTGCTGAATCACTGAAATTCTGCATCACCTTTTCCACTGCCCTTTAGAGGGAAGAATATTCCCATCAGAAACCACTCTTGGTGGTCTACATTTGGTGATTTAATTGGTAATAAGGAGGTTACCATACTTGAAGATCATGCAGCTTGGAGCTCAGATACTATAAGAAAAGGGACTTTGGAATACAGTAATATTATAGGTTTCAGGGCAAAAAAGAATCCTATGACGAAATCTGTTATAATAGGGACACCATCAGGAGAGAGGTGGTGGAAGCTTCCGCAGTTAGAAAACTTTTAGCAGAAATTCACAGTTCAGGAACTAATCATAGGTAAAGATTGTACATCAACAAGAAGAGCGAGAAGATAATGAGATTTCCAAGTTTCTCACGCTATGATCCGTTGGAATGTGAGTGCACTACCTACTACTGTATTTTATGCTTCTCTAGACCAAGTCAAACTATTGCCCATGTAATATACACTGAGCAGAGCAGAGGTTAGACATTCTGCTCCTCTCTGTAATGGGATGTGGTTGGTGGAAGTGCACAGATTAGCAGACAAAGCCATGCCTAATGTTATTAGCCAAATGCTTTCACAGAGCTATGGCATTATGGAATTTCAGCAGAAATGTCTCACTGACCAAAATGATGGTCTTACTAAGGTTAACAGAAAAATAATTACTTTTATCTTTAGCCCTACCTAAAAAATCATGGAGTTTTAGGCCCCGGGCATTCTAGTAACTGTGTTAGCAAATAAAATGTGTGTGTAGGTATATGTGTATGTATACATAGAGAGGAGTTCCAACCGTGTATAGTTGATGGTGTACTGAATGTTCTGAAGACGACTATTATTTACTGAAATAAAGCATTAGCAAGAACGACTGGTGTGCAATACAATCACGGGTCTTTGTTGTTTTCAGAAACCTAATGAATGAACACATACCATCCATTGGTTTCCAACATGACTGGCATATGGTGCTCATAAATAAATAAAAAGCATGATATTACAGTTACTCTGATACCAGTCAGTGGTAACATTTGGTAAACTGGAGAGCTGTCTATTCTATCTTACCTCAACAGCAAAAACACAAAATCTCTGAGTAAAAGACAATTAATTGTAACTGATAGTTTTTGGGATTTCCTCCCATTAAGCCAGGTTACAAGGTTCCAAAAGAAACATTAGACCATTTCTTAATGTATGGCTTCAGATATATATTTTAAAACCATTAAAATTACATAGAAGGTAATTGTCAGCTACAATAGCCTTCAGCAACAATACCTCCATACCTACGAGAGAGTCACAGCAATATAAAAGAGTTTAGCAGGACCTACATTCTACCTTGATTCAAAACTGAGATCCTAAAAATGCCAAAACAGCTGCCTACAGGACCAATACTGCTCTCAGGTTTTACAGTGGTCTACTCTTTGTGTTACTTACCAGAACATGGGTGACACTGGTTCAATTTCCAAATTTCCATGGGTTTAGGAACCTCAGTTTCACATCTCTCCCAGGAATGCCCTACCTCTACACTCCTCTTTCCACATGTTCTCACTGCTTTCCCGAACTGTCATGCTCTCGCCAGTGGCATCACTACTGCAAAATTTGCAGCATACAGGAATACATTTCTTTCTTCCACACTCGCATTCCAAAGCCACAACCAGATCCCTAGCAGTAAGTAATCTTGCTGATCCATCTCAAAACACAAAATACATATTATCTCAAGCAATTGGGAAAATGACATTGGTGAAGTTGTCCACTGACATCCCTAGCACAAAGACACAAGCCCTAATGAGGTCAGAACATATCCAAAATGGGTGTCATCTGAAAGAACCACTCCCCTGGGGTATCTGTGATCACCTCTTTTGGGTTCAGACTAGGCCAAGATCTGGCATTAACATATAGTATACAAGAGAAGTATACAATATATTCCTGAACACTGAAGTGTTCAAATGGTCTTTAATTAATTTCCATATGATAGAGGTCACCTCTCCTTGGGTAAACCTAAAGTGATGATTAAGACTGAGATACAGTTGGAAAATATTTTTATTTCTGCGGGCTGTTGAAGTAGTATATAGGCTAGTGCTGGTAGTAACAAATCTGCCCAAATTTGGTCATTAGATATAGATCATCCATCCAAGAGCTGGAGACCTGTGTTTGTTTTTCATAGGTTATACCATGCAAAAAAAAAAGGTTTGTGTTGACAGTGGATTACATGGAATAGCAGAATAGCGAGGTATCACTTCTCTGGGATTTAGATCAGAATTCCTAGGAATCTTAAGGCTGGAAAATTGTATCCTAGATTCTGTCAGGACTATCAAAGCAGAAGAACGTCTGATGCTAGCAGGGATGACGGGTAAAACTGAGTTTTGGGGGGGTTATCCTTCAATAGTAGGGGTTCTCTTCCTGTGATAGTGCTAGTGATACAGCTGGGTTAGAGGAATGAATGAACTGGAGAACTGTATTTAGTCCTGAATTTCATCTTAAACTTAGAATGCTAATACAGTAGTAGAACGATTGTAGCATAGCTTACAGGATATATTTTGATCTGTTAATGGCCAGGGTCACTTCTGGTTTTAGACAGGAGGACATGTTAGCCTGTCAGAGTAGCTTGAAAACTGTACTGTAGATACTTTGAATCATAGCAGTAAAAGCAAGGGCTGCATGACGAACCCTACCTAAATGCAAGAAGTTTGTCCTTTGGGATATAGGGATATGTCCCTTGTTGGGATATAGATGTGGAAAGTTAGGTTTTGTTTCTGGATCCTGGAAGACCTGCTGTTGCTGTTAGACCAAAAGACTAGGGTTTAGGTCTGTCAAAGTCATCAGTCTTCCACTTGGGTTGAAAAAGATGAACTCCTAAATACACCTGCAATTAGTCCTGGGATAGCCAAGTGTTGCTTTTCTGGCCTTAATACAGGAGTTTGTGTAATGCCTGCAAAACCAGGCTAATTCACCCTTTCTGCAGATGCCACAGGAAACACAGGAGTTCTGGGTACAGCAAGGGAACAGAAACATGATGGGATGGACTATGTTTGGTTTTAGGTGAAGTTCATCTTTCAGGTCTACAAGGGTCTGAGAGGTTAAGTGCACTCCTAAGCAGGTTGTGTGCTGCAGGGCTCTGCTGAGCACTGACACCTTTAGTTGGGCTCATATTTAAGTCAGGTCACTGGGCCAGAGTTTACAGTTACGATTAGCCCTTGGAACAGAAGTGGCTGGAGTGTCAGGTTTAACACAATGTTCCAGATCAACATGAGAGCCATGATGGGAGAACTTTTGGGACAGAGTTAGCTGACCTAACTGGATTCAGGTCAAGGTTAAGGGCTTGTCATAATTTCAGCTGAAAAGCAACATATGTCTCATCCTGCTAGGATTGCTAGACTTCACCTGAGTTAGTCCTAACATATTAAACCAAATTTAACCTGGAGAGTCTGAAGGATCAAGTAAGGTTTAGTGACAGCATGGTCCAGTATTGTACAGGTCATTAGGACTAGGACAATGGCACTGGAAGGGCTGAAGAACTTTGTAAAAGTCCCTTCTGCAACTGATGCATTTCTCTTTCTCCTGAGGGAGAAAGGGACTTCATAGGGAGAAGCCTAACAGACATAGGAAGAAGGAGACAGAGGAAAAAGAGATACCAGTACTTATCAAGACTTTGGGACCAAAAGGGAGTGGTTTAAAAGTCTGTACACATATGCACATCTCTTTTCCCCAGTCTTTAACCTTCCTCCCATCGTTCCTGTCTCCTTGTGAGTCTCCCTTCCCCCCAACTCCCACAGTCCTCTGCCTCTTCATGTCACACAGACATTCCTTTCTTTTTGTTCCCTTTTGTCCTTCCCAGTCCCAGCATTGGGCAGAGGCAGCAAGAGAAGAGAAAAACAAGGGAAGCAGCTTTACCATTTCTCTTTTCACCTTGTGACCAAACCAACAGCCAGTCCCACAACCACCAGCACCACCAGCACCACCTCGACCACAACAGTCGTGGAAGTGTTGCAGCACCGTAGCTTTGTTAGCCTGGAGAGACAGGTAAGTGAGAGTGGCAGGGGTTTGACCACAAGCCTTCGGGCTCTAATCGAAGCATTAGAGGACCGCCAGCCACCAGTGAGCCGGCTCTGCCCGCGGGCTCCCCGGCCGGCCGGGCAGCGCTGACCCCACCGGACTCTGTCTGCTGACACTTGCTATTTGCAGGAAACCTGCCTGGGAGGCACCGAGCCTCCCCGCGAGGCACCCCTGAGGCAGCCCCTTCGCCCGGCGGCCCCGAGGGCCGGCTGCCGCCGCACGGGGGGCATCCAGCTGTTGCCAACAGCTGTGTGTCAGCCCCGGCAGCGCCGCGGCCGAGCGCGGGGTCCGCCCCGCCGCCGTCCCCGCCCCTGCGAGGAGGAGGAGGAGGAACCGAGAGTGCCCGACCCGGTGGCTTTTAGGGGGGAAGGCCACTCAGTTGCTAGAGCTCAGGCCCTGCGCTCCTCTTCCAGCTGCTGCTTCTGCTCGTTTTCAGCGCTACGGCCGCCAGGCTGGCTGCTGCCCGGCCTCCCCTCCTCCTTTCGCCGATACCTACCTCAAAACCGCCGGAGGCTGCGGGGCTCCGCTCGTGAAAGAGGAGGAAGAAGCTGGGTCTGCAAAGGCAAAAGGGAATTGCATTGTAGCTGGGTGGCGGGGGGAAAAAGGGGGGGCGGGGGAAGAGAGGAGAAAAAAAAATAATAAAAAGGCAAAAAAAGAGCGGGGCTGAGTCTGGAAGCGGGTCTCGCCGCCCAGCACCCGCACGCCCCGGCGGCCACGCGTGGGTGCAGATCGCGGCGCGGCGCGCAGGGCCGGGCGGAAGATGCACACGACGCAGAAGGACACCACTTACACCAAGATCTTCGTCGGGGGCTTGCCCTACCACACCACCGACTCCAGCCTGCGCAAGTACTTCGAGGTCTTCGGGGACATCGAGGAGGCGGTGGTCATCACCGACCGGCAGACGGGCAAGTCCCGGGGATACGGCTTTGTAAGTGCAGGGGCGCGGGGCAGGGCGGGGGGCGGCGGGGGCAGGTGGGCGGTGGCGGGGGCATCGCGGGGAATCTTCCGCGGGGGACGCTGTAAGAGCTCGGGGGCCGGGAGGGGGGGTGCCGGGCGTCCGGCTTTTTGCTTTTCTTTTTTTTTTTTTTTTTCTTTTTTTTTTTTTTTTTCCCCTCTCCCTGCTGGAGAGTTTGGATAGAGGCGGGAGGGGGGTATTACTGAAAAAGGAGATTGAGGGGGGGAATTGCCCAATTCCTCGCAGCGCCGCCAGCGCGCCTGTTGCTCGCTGATACGGCCGCGCCGGGGTTTATCTGCCGGCGGCGGAGCTCGGCCCGCGCCCTCCGCCCTGCGCCCGCCGCGGCGCCCGGAGCCCCGCTCCGCAAGGCGAGCGGGCCGGGGCCGGGGGCCGGATGGGGACCCCCCTGGCCGCCCCGGGGGGCATCCGAGTCGCCGCTGTGGGCGAGAGGCTTCTCCTTCCCCGCGGAAAGGGATCTAATGCGCAGCGTCGCCCCTTAAGGTCACCATGGCTGACAGAGCTGCTGCCGAAAGGGCTTGTAAGGACCCCAACCCCATCATCGATGGCAGGAAAGCCAACGTGAACCTGGCGTACCTTGGTGCCAAGCCGCGGATAATGCAGCCAGGTGAGGAAGCGACCCCGAATGGCTTTTCTCTCCGTACCTCAGGTTTCTGAAGAGCAAAACTTTACGAAAGGTAGTGCCGCCCTCCACGTTTCTGAAGTACGTGCACAGTTGGGCGTGCTTTGGTTTGGAGTTTTAAATGCAGCATGTAGTAACTTTTTGGCTATTTTGTACGTGTGCCTTATTTAAAAACCAAAAGCAATCAGAGATAAAGTATCTGCAGTTCCCCAGGAAGACTTCCACAGCTCAAACACTTCATTGGTTATTCCTGCTGCTGGGAATGTGGTGGTGCTGACCATTTACAGTATCGTTGCAGGGTAAGATTGGCCTAGGAATGAATTGCTTCCAATGTGTGCGGTCTTATTAATACAAACAGTATCTTAATGCAAACTCTTCAAACAGATGGGAGCTATTATGCAGACTTTAAAATGAAATGGCTCTTCCTAAGACCACATCTGAGCCAATCTGATGTCCTAGCTCTTCCCAAACTGCTGCTTTGCAGTAAGAGCGAGAGGAGTGTGGAGTGTGAGCACATTTGTGCTCTAAAGGAAGCTGCTGTGAGTTCCCCCATGTTTAGCTCGAGGAACACTTGTCTGAGTAATTAAGTGCCCGCCAAGCAAAGACAGGGTTTATGTTTGGGTGTTTGAAGAACTGAAGTCAGGATTTGACCCCCCCATGCTAAGACCTCATGAGCAGAGATGGCTCAAATTTTAAGTCTCTAGAAAGTACACAAATACACTGATGAATAGGAAATACCATATAATCCTTCGGAGGTTAAAGTTAGGGACCGGAATGGGGCACAGAGTGAAATGTGAATGAAAACCTGTGCTTGTTTAGAAAAAGTTGTTCTCCTAAACATCTCTAGGAAAGTGTGCACTTTACTGGTTTAAGTTCTCTGTGTGTGTGTGTGTGTGTGTGTGTGTGTGTGTGCGCGTGTGGACTGATACATTTTGCTTTCTAATTTTTGGTTCTACAGCCTTTCAGACGTTGTTCCTGGAGGCTGTTAGTGAAGGCTCTTGCTCTGCATTTGTGTGCGTGTGCATATGTACATAGCATAAATAAATGGCCAAAAGAACACCCATACAGAGAATGTGATGTGTTTTTGTTGGTAGGTTTTGCCTTTGGTGTCCAGCAGCTTCATCCAGCTCTCATACAGAGACCTTTCGGGTAAGTCTGTTCAATGGGACCTCAAACAGGGGAGAAAAAAATCTCTTTTTTTTTTTTTTTAAAAGGAAAGAAAAAGTATGATCGTTGAAGGCCTCTTGCAGTAGCATCCTTAAAACTGGCCAGCAGTGCTGAAGTTCTCAGATTTATAAATATATACCCATAAATGCACTCACCTTGTCGGTCATGTTCTAAATGCCGCAGCTGAGTCAAGTTGTGTGGGACGTGGCCCTTCCGACTAAGCAGTCCAGTCCCATATGACTCTATAAAAAAACAAGGAGGTATGACTTGATGCAAGATTGCTGTGCCCCATTTCTCTTTTTTCAGCTTGACTCAATGTTATTTATCTCTTTCTAATCTGACAGGGATCGTTTACAGTTAAGATAACTGATCAGAAGGATATGATGATAAGAGGTGGAATAGTTCTGTTTGGAATTAAACTCTGTAACCAGTAGACTCAAACACAAACAAGCTAAAATGGTGATTAACGATGCATGTATGTTTTTCTTCATATAGTCAATAGACCTCCGTGTGCTTTTTTTTATTTATTACAGTAATGAAGTGGTGTTGATAGCTAAACTGTGTGCTTTTATTTATTTGAAAGAGCTGTAGTGAAAGTTTTTTGGGGGGGTCTTTTTAATTTTGGTTTTGTTGTTGAGGAGTGACTTTGCCATGGGGAGCAAAGGGCCTTTTTTTTTTTCCTTGCTTTCAAGCTGTAGCCTGTGACTTTTTTTAACCATATTTTGTAGTGAGTGCTAAATTGTGTGACTTCTTGATTTTTAAGTAAATCAACGTATTGCTTGCATGTTCATAATTTTTGGGGGGCTTTGTTCTCGGGAGGGGTGTGGAGCTCCCTATTAACGATGTGCGTCCATTTGGGCTTTCTAATTTGAAGAGTTTTTCCTTCAATCCTTCTTTAATATCTAGCGCATTTCTCCTGTACTTGAATGTACTATTCCTAAGTAGATCTAACTCTTGCTTCCTATAGGCATATAATTAGGAGGTGAAGTCTGCATTAAGTTTTCCATAGAGTGTCACTTCACTAATGCACACTGACTGAGAAACCCATTGCAAAACAGTGCATTTTGCTAAGCTAACAATAAAGTAGGGAAACTGTGTCACAAATGTTTATTTGATTAGAATAGCTTGAGATTATCTTACCTATCCGTTATTAAGCACCAATAACTTATCGATAGTTTGATTTGTCAAAATGGTAGGAACTAGTTCCTATCCTGAAAACCACAGGAAAAAGTTTTCTTAGAAATTTCATGTAATTTTAAAAGAGAGTGTTGATTCTTCTGAGAGTGGGGAGACTGTAACAAACTTTGTCATTTTTTTTCCTTCTCATGATTATCCTCTACTATATTTTGCTCACTTCTTTGAAGTGTGAGGAGATGACAATGCGTATGCCATGATCAGTTTATGATGCCTGTGCTAAGGTAGGCAGGAGGCAGAACGCCTTGTCTCCAGAGCAGTTAAAGTACTTGTTGCAAAGAGGAACAAGTGGATTGCACAGGGATCAACTGTGGAGAGACTGAGTATTTGCTGAGCACAACAGAAAAGGAGGACCTGTGGCAATCCCTTGCTTAAAGGACTGTGCAAATGTAGGGCTCTTTTCTTGCTTTACTTACCCAGATCATGTAAACCACGTGTAGGCCAGGGAAATCCTTCCAGCAGAATGAATAGGGTTTTATTTCTAATGCACTGGACATAAGTCTGGAGAAGTGTTGGTCGTAGGGTCATGTATATATGAAATTGGTCATTTTTGATCCTTGGCTCTTGCCTTTCTTTTATGATGTGCAAACAACGGAGATTACTAATCCTGCTTCCTTCTCAGAATTTCCAGTGACCTGTACCTTTTCTAAAGTATGTAGTTGAGATTAAGAACAACATTCACTAGGATGAATGAACATCTTCATTCACAATATTCCATGACAGTAAGAGGGGATGTTTCAGTGCTTACTCGAATCTACTTCTGTTAGGAGTTCACTCTTAGAGCTTTCTATACGGGTTGCACTGAAATACAGCCTGAAAGCCTTTCTTTGCACAGTTTCACTTTTTAAGTACACTTTACTAATACGCTGCGTAAAATCGGTTGTAGTGGTGATTCACTATCGATACTCTGCTAATCCATACACAAAAGCTTCAAATGTTTCGTGGTTGTGTTTTGTTTTGTTGGCTCTTTTCCTAACAGAGTGCAAATTAGCAAGGTACTGCTGCATTTTGGTATGGTCAGCAGTGTTGTAGAATCATAGAATCATAGAATGGCCTGGGTTGGAAGGGACTTTAAAGATTGTTTAGTTCCAACCCTGTTGCTGTGGACAGGGACACCTTTCACTAGACCTTGTTGCTCCATCTGGCCAGGCCTTGAATACATCCAGGGATGGGGCATCCACAACATATGCTTTCCCAGCTATCAAATAAAAAACTGAAAATAATTGGATTACATTACGTTGCTTTTACTGAGAAAATGCAGAAGTTCAATATTCTGACTTAAGTACAACATTATTGTGGTGGAAGGAGACAGAAACTAGATTAGCTTCAATGCGTGACGCACTTTGAAAAGTCAGGGAACTTTTCTTTATTCAGTGCTGAGGAGATCAGTTCATCCACCAAATAACATTTCTTCCTACTTTTTGCATTCAGCATCTATCTTACTGTTGGTGTGTTTCATAAAGCTGTTTGATCACAGGACTGGTTATTTATAAAGCTTTGTTTTCAGGATTGTTTATTAAAATATTATCTCTGAATTCAACAGGAATTTATGGAGGGGGAAGATGACTTTGCTTCCTAAGATAGCTTTTCTTGGTTTGCTTATGGAATTTCTATTTTCATATTGGTGGGAAAATTTGGGATTATACAGAGGTATTGGTGTAGGACATAACTGTTGCAGAGATTTTCTGTTCCTTTCCTTCCTGTCTAAAACTTGTGCTTCGATCAAAATGAAAACATTCCCACTGTTTTCAGTAAGACCAGAGTTAAATCCAAAATTACTAGTTAATTATCAAATGGTTAGCTGATACTACCTGCCTGATATTCCAAGAGTTAGGCAATTCTGCCTTTTTAAAGAGAGAAGGAAAAGCCCCCTCTCGAGTTTGTGATCAAATGACTTGTATAATACTAGACTTAGGATAATCTGAAAAGAGGGAATGAAGCCAGAACAGTAAAAAGTTAGCCTGCTATGTCCTCCTTATGGTTATCAGAGAAAAGGAAGCACAGTAAGGGTCTTGTATGTCTTAATATTTAGGTAACCTATTTTTGTTAAAAGGAAAGCTGTTCGTTGCTGAAAATCTACTCTTTAATTATGCCTTCAAAACCAGACAATGCCATACCATGGCCAAAGCAAAACATTTTGTTCCAAGTTAAATATATACTTTCACAAGAATGTAATGCTGTGAGTCAAAGATGTGCTACTACTGCTGAATTTCTATATTTCACAGCTCTCTGCATTAGTCTAAAAAGTCCCTTCTTTCCTTTGAAACAATTAGCATTCACTTTATTATTGCTTATAGGATTATTTTGGAGGTCTTAGTTAAACACAAATCTTCTGTTATAACAACAATGAAGGTCTTAAGGCATGTGGCAGGGGTATATGTCATTGAATTTTGAATATCTCAAAGCTGCAGTTACTGCTAAAGTTAAGCACGCCTTCCCCTTTTTTTTTATTGCAAAAATGTAAAACAGTAAATAGACATTCCAAAATAAAATCTACTGCTAGGAAAGAGAGCTTAAATCATGTGCATTTCTCACACTAGTACTCTCAAAAGTAAAGCAGCAGCTTTTTATTTAAAATTAGGGACACTAAGGATTTCCAGTGTAACTGGGAATTGCTTTTTCAGCTTTTGAAAAGCAGTTGGGTTCTGAATGGCTGAGATCTTCATGTCCTGGCCTCTGCAGTAGGTAGAAATTTACTTTGGCCATATAAAGCCATTTTACTCGACTCAAAACAGTTGTAGCATGACAGATGATCAAAAATAGCCCCACTGCAGCTTATGCTGTCAGTCATCATGTGTGAAATGGCATGGTGGAGAGGAGCCTGCACAGGGTTTATGTTTATTGTAGAGTAAGATGTGGCAAACAGATAATGTTTCATAACTTCACCACCTGTTAGTTTCTTGGCTTAAATAAAACAAGTCACAAGAGTTTAAGTGGAAGCACATGTATCTTTCTGTCTTGTTCACGGAGGTGGCAGTGTCCTAACGTCTTCAGAAAATCTTAGTAATGTCGTTTCAAGTCAACACAAACAGTCTGATAAACTTGCTTACTGTCTCTTCTGTTAGAATTACTCTCTTTCATAAGTACTGTATGTAAAGATTCCTTCGATGTGCTGCAGAAGTTGTTCTTGGTGACTTCAAATTTGGTTTTATATCTCTCTCCTTAATACTTAAAAAACATGGTGTTATTTTTATTAGGATTGTACTTGGTTGGTGACCAATACAAAACGCTTGTGTATGCTCATCCATTTTCTATGGAGAGCTCAGGTAATGATGTATATTTAAATGCACAGAGCCAGCTTAAGTATGCTTCAAATGCACTTCTGGCTAATCACTTCATAAATTAGGTGAGTGTTAAAAACCCAACTTATGGTTTTGTTTTCTGTTTTCTTTCCCTTCCCAATCCCTCCCTGTTTATCGCTCTTTTTTTAAAATTATTTTTCCTTTTTCCACACAGTAGAAAAATAATTTCACTGACATGTTGGGTTTTTATGATTGTGGTGTTCGTGTCTTAAACACGACAGCTGAACATTTCTCTCTGCTAATATTCCTTATACAATCAACTGAGCTCTTTTTTTCTTAAAAAGAAAACTAAGCTGTTCTAAAGCTTATCACTTATTTTAAACTATGTTTTGCTATGATTCCAGTTGACAGTGTCCCTTCCGATTGAAACGTTTCCTTGTTGACCATTTAAGTACGTCTTAAAGTTATTTTAAAAATGAAACAAAAAAACCCTCAATAAACCCTTTCAATTAGATCTGGAATTTGGAGAAAAGAGGACAGTTTTTAGCATCACGATTTGCATCTGTGCTTAAAGTACGCTAAAAGGTTGGTGCAGTGTTTAGAGTTGTCTCTAAAGGTAAAGTTCAGTATGAAATAGTAGTAAATCTGCACAAGTGGTTTTCCATGGATTTATAAAGATTCATTGGCTGGAAAGGAGATACATATATGTAGGACTTCTCCGGAAATCCAGATGCAAGACAGAGTTATGAATGTAAAATGAGATTTATATTGAGTGTATATATATATTTTTAAATCATATTATATGATAAAATACAGCTATGAGATTAACTTGTATGTAGATTTGTGTGCTAAGACAATGATATGACCAATTTTCAAAACTGAAGGGCTAAATAAATAAGACAAGGAAGCAAGTTTTGTGAAGAAGATGGGAAATTGTGTATTGGTCTGTTCAGAATGGCTGTTTCTTAAGCTGTAAATTTATGGTTTTTTTGCTTTTGTTAAGCACCAGATCTATTTAGACTTAATCTTATGCCCACCTCCCAAAAAACTCTATGCTGTATGTCTTGCATAGAAATAAACAAGCTGGCACAAAACAGGACATCAGTGACCTGATAATCAAACAGGTTTGACCCTTGTGTCCTTACAAATTTTTATAAAAGTGTGATGCACATGTACTTAGGAGTCACTGTTATGGATTTTAATAGCATCTATGTAGCTTCCCCTCAATGGTAGCTTCCCTCTTGTGACGGAGTGAGCTGCACTATCGTTCGTTTGGAAAGTGTGATTCTTGCTGTGTTTACCACACTTGTGAACTCTATTTAAACTCCTTTGTCGCCTGTGTTGGTTTTTTTTTTCTTATTTTTAATAAGGGTGACTGAGGTTGCAGAGAAATTAATGTGTGCTGAGTCTGCATAGCAACTTAAGTAGGGTTGCCACAATACACTCCCCTGCTCCCTGGAAAGTCTTTACATAAAGTCAGGGTTCAACCATTTTGTTGCCTTACTGGCTATTGTCAAATTCATTATAGTGATACTGTCAAACTGCTCAGTTACTACTAATAAAAGCATTGCAGGAAATAATTTTACTAAGAGTCAAGTAGTTAAGAGAGAAGCAGGGTAATAAAGATGACTTACAGGTTATTTGAAAAACCAGTACTGCAATTTTCCAGATGAAATAATCAAGCTTAGTTCTTCAGAGTTGTCCTAAAACTGACATCAGTAGTGCTGGCTCTTCTGAAGACTTTCATGGCATTAAAGACACTATCCTGAAGCAACATTGAACACTCTGATTCAACTCAGCTATAACGCTGTGCTTTGGAGCGATGCGTCTCTTCGGGCCAGCGAGCTGACAGTTGGCCCATTGAGTCTAGTTATTGTGGCAACCCTATGCACATAACAACAACTAAATTGAGTTTGTTTTAGTTCGGAGTATGGATGTGACGCTTAGGCGCTGACTCGCGTACCAACTTCAACTCCCTCTCCCATCTTTCAACAGGATACCCGCTCACTATATCTATCCACAGGCTTTTGTGCAGCCCGGAGTGGTAATTCCCCACGTCCAGCCTGCAGCAGCCGCTGCTTCCACTACGCCCTACATCGATTACACCGGAGCTGCGTATGCCCAGTACTCGGCCGCCGCAGCCGCCTATGAGCAGTACCCGTACGCCGCCTCTCCGGCTGCCGCTGCTGGATACGTGGCAGCGGGGGGCTATGGCTACGCGGTGCAGCAGCCCATCACCGCGGCAGCGCCCGGGACCGCCGCGGCAGCCGCTGCGGCTTTTGGCCAGTACCAGCCCCAACAGCTGCAGACAGACCGCATGCAATAGCAGATGGACTCCTGAAGGAAGCTCGCTCTTTCTCTTCCTCTCTTCAGCCTTCCAGTATAAGTAGTTAACAGAGACAATTGATATTAACTAAAGGAGCTTTAAGGAAAGCGATGCTATTGCGAAACTAAAGACTTTTATTCCACTGTTTTCATACAGTATGCATCCAAATCATGTTGTTAGAAGGGAGGGGTAGTGCGGCATGTCTAGTTTCAAGTATCAAGGCAGAAGAAAACGGGGGGTAAATACTGTACTGTCATGGAAGAGTGGCAGGAGTAGCAATGGGACTTCATATTTTCAAACAAACAAACAAGAACCAAAAAAAGCAAAGGTGTACTCTTTACAGTATCAGGGAAGCAAAACTGCCTTTTATAAGTAAGAAAATGGTATTTGAAAAGTTTGAACCAGGGAAAAAAACTGAGTCAGCAATATGTAATCTCTATCCATTTTAAGAGGAAATGAACTTAAAGCATTGATTGTCCTTTCTAGCTTTCAAAAGTTGTCTTCGTGAGATAGTACCTTCTCACTGTCTCACTCACAGGCATCAAACAACCCAAGGAAGATGGCCGGATAGTAAGATGGCGGACAGGCACCAAAGTTATTTTCTTCTCTGTCCTCTGGATGAGTGGAACTATGGAGCAAGTGATGTGGAAGTAAGGGGTGCAACAGCTGTAGAGACAATCAATAACACAGACAGTTCTGGACAGAACACATCACTCGTGCTCATGTGATGAGCTTGTCACATCCTAATCCCTCGCCCCATCCCGTTTCACTTTTGGGAAACTTTAACTGCTGGTGTCAGCTATTCTGATTCTAAAATAGGATCAGCCCTTTTACTACAACAGCCTTCTCTTTCTGTTTATTGCATCTATTCGTAACTTGTGAATAAAGGCAGGAAGAAGCCTAAAGAATTAAAACCTTTAAGAACTGTTGTAAGGGAATTTTCTTTTCTGAAACCATTTGTACAATTTTAATATCTATTTCAGGATTCTATTTAAAGTATTTATTAGCAAACATACAGTACACAAGGCGACTTTTTGTTACCAAGACTGCAGTTCTTGAAGGGTTAATGGTATGTGATTTATACTGTGCCTTAATTGTTATGCTATTTAAAAAGAAATATTTATTTTGAAAGTTTTACTATGCTGCGCTCTGAAGAAAGCGACTTTAGATGTGACACTGTAAAATTATGTATTCATCTCATGGTATAAATTATTTAGTAGGCTTAGATGTAGCATATTAAATATTAACCTAATTAACTAAGGATGTTGACTTGGATTTATTTAATTTCAGTATGTGCACTGTATGAGGGTACTCTTAAATTAACACTTTTTTAGGTTTTTACATAAAACATTGCTAGTTCATTCTTTTTCCCTCTACTAGTTAATTCATGTAGACCTCTCAAATACATTAGTGCCGTTTTCTCACTCATCTGTATGTAGACTGACTATTTTTCCCTTTGCTAGAAAATGCTGCTTTACATTGTCCTGTGAAACTACAATACTTGCAATTTTTATTCTTGACTGAAATGGAATTTAATATTTTACACTGTATTGGATTTTTTTTATACTTGAACAATTTCATACAAGGGAAGACAGGATAGCATTTTTATGGACTTTATCCAATGTCACTGGATTTATTTGAAGTATTCTGAATACTAGCCAGTGTTATAATGTAGACATGACTCTCCTGTGCATATTATTTATTCAGTATGTATATTGCTTTACAACATTTCAGATCTCTTAATCTATTCACTCGTACTAAAACAATAAAAAAAATTGTCTCATCTTGTCTAGTGTTGTTCTTGCTTAAATAGTCTTAGATCTTGTTTAGTTAAAACTCAGGGGGGCAACCTTTTATATAGTTTTCCTGGTCTGTGGGACGAATGGCAGCATATACACAGACTTCAAATACATAGACTGATAGGACCTGTGTTACATGGAGGAAATTCTACAAGGAAGATGGAGAAGATCCATCCTGAGAGTTACCATAAAATAATTCAGAATGGAAGGGACTTTGGGGGGGTCCCAGGTTGCTTATGTCATTATCCAGTCAGGTCTTAAAATCCCCCTCGTGAGGACCGCACAACCCCTCTGGGTAATCTGTTCCACTACCTAATTATTCCCGAAGTGTCATTTTTTTCCCCCTTCTATCTAGCCAGCACCTCCCCTATTCATTTATAGCCTTCGTCTCTCATTCTTTGGCAGAGAGCCCAGCCCTGTCTTCTCAGTAACCTACTCTTAGGAACTGGAAAATTGCTGTTCTCTTCCGTAGGCTGAATAAACCCCAGTGTCTCAGCCTCTCCTCACAATTCTCATGCTTCAACCTCCAGCCATCCTGCTGACCCTCCAATGGAATTGTTCACATTTATCAGCAGCTTTCATGTACTGGGAGACTCAAGACAGAACCCACTATGCCAGCTGTGGTCTAATGAGTGCTGAGTAAAACAGAATAATCAATTCCCTTGATCTGCCATCTGTTCTGCTGTTGATCCAGTCTGATGCACTTTCACTGGTGCCAGAGTTTACCACGGACTCCTGTTCAGCCTGCCCCAAGCCTCCCATGTCCTTTTTAGCTTGCTAACCAAGCCCTGGGGGTCAGTCCATCCTAGATAAAGAACTCGTTATTTGTCCTGACTGAATTTCATGATGTTCCTGTTGACCTAGTCCTCTGGCAAGTGTAAATCCCTCTGAATGGCAGGTCTGGTCTCAAGTATATCAAGCCTACCCTCCATTAAGTGTAATGACAGTACTGCATCCTATCTCTTCCTCCAAGTCATTGATAAAGGTATCAGACCAGACAGACCCACAGGGAACACTGTAACCAGCCTCTGGACAGAGCATAAGCCCTTTGGACCAATGATTCAGTTAGTTTTTTGCCAAGCTAGACTGGACCATCTGAAACTGGATACAAGGATTCTGTGAAAGACTACATGGAAAGCCTGGCTAAACTCAAGGTAGACAACAGTGTCTGCTTTCCCCTCCTTGAGAGATGAAGTCACCTCATCACAAGAGGCAATTAAGTTGGTCTGGCATTATTTACCTTTGTAAATCCATGCTGGCTGTTCCCAATCGCCACCATCTCCTTCACATGGCCAGAAATTTCTGCCAAGATTGCTCACACCATCATTGTTTGATAGGTTGCTAGATTGTCCTTCACACACTTTCTGAAGGTGGGTGCATCATCTGCCTTTCTGCAGTCACGGAAGACCTCCCCAGTCTCCATGACCTTTCAGAGATGATAGTGAGCAGCCTCAGAATGACAACACCTTTGGGTGCAGCCCACCAGGTCTGTATGTGGATTGAGCTTCTTCAAGAGGTGCCTGAATCAATCCCCTTCCACACCTGACAGTTTTTTTGTCCTTGAACCCTTCCTACAATCATAAAGTAGTGTTACTAAAAACCTAAGGGTCACAATACCTTCCTGCATGTAGTACTTGAACTGGGAAGCATTGAAGAAGCTGCTCAGATCCAGCTGATGATGGTTTTGTAACCTTTAGGACTAGTTAACATTTCAGTATCAGTCCAGGCCACTAATGACCAAAAGCAATTGCTACCTGATGTCTGAAAGAAGCCTGTGTGAAATACATGACAGTCTTGGCCAGTTCTTTGAGGAATGGGAGGATGTTTATATAATCTTCATACTGAAATTCATTACTGCAGCTGTCACTCTTACAAGTGACTTCAGCAGAAGCACAGGCTTGACTGCGGAATTCGAGCTGTTCTTTCATCCTCAAAAAGGGTCTTTTTTTCATCTGCAAAAGAGGCAGCAGTGAAATTGAAATTATAGAAAAGATTTTTCCTGGTCTTAGGGTCTCACTTCATTTCGCTGTGGACAATTATGAAACTCAGTTGCCCAGAACTGGTACACTCACTAACATCCTGGGCTGATGCTGTCATGTTCTGTTCTTAACGAGTGCTTAAAGCCTGGCTGCTGAGAAGTGTTGCTGAACTGCCTTTTGCAACCTGACCTTAAGATCTGTGACCTTGCAGAGAGCACTGTAGTGCTCTCTCTGCTAAGAAGCGTGTAAACAGCCAGCAGGGAGGTGAATAGAAAACAACAAATGCCATTTTCTGCTCTGTTCTCCTATTTTCCTACTCTGGTCTTGCTCCAAGGGGTTTGCCTACAAGACATGGTATCAAGTAGGAATTAAAACCAAAAGTCCCTTTGAGAGGAAGGCAGAGCACAGTGATGGTACACTAACCTTTTATTTGATATAGGATGAAGAAAGCATCTTCTCCCTATTGATATGCACCCCTGACAATGTCCTTGGGCCTTCTCTTACCTCCATCTGGAGGTAACAGACACTGCAGGGGAGGGCATGAAGGGGAATGCTTGCTGCCCTGGAGGGGTCTGTGTTGTGGTAAGCCACAATGGGAACAGAATAAAAGTTTATGACTCAGTTTGTAAAGGTCAGTTGCATGCTGGCTCTATAACTTGACAGAATGAGTAACATCAGCAAAAATGGGAATGTGCAAGCTCCACTAGCAAACCTAGCTTTAGGCATACAACGTGAACACTGACTCTTCTTTTTGACAAATGAGTAGCTGAACAGACCTTCGTACATAAGATACACCTTAGGTAACATCTCACATACACGAAATACCAATAATTCATATTATCAGGACCAAAATAAAACAACTGAGAAATATCAGCATCCAATTGTGATATACCTGAATACTCAGCGAAAATGTTATCATTTTACTTGAGAGATGGCATATATGCAAGCAGCAAGAAAATACCCACAATACAATTTCCAGTTCTGTTTCCAAAACCTTCAGAAGAGATTTTATACTGAAAAGTGACCAACGCTGAGTTCCTTACAGAGGGAGGGAGAAGCCGAAACAAGGAACCATTGCTAAGGAATGTGTAGACTAAAAAGGATGTAATACCTTAAAAGGTTACATTGATGACTTGTATGCCAGAATTGTAATTTTTCATAATATTTGTATTTTCCTATTAACTACAGAACATAATTTGGCAGCACTAGAGTTCATTGATTCTAATTTTTCTTGGATTTTTCAAACATGTAAAAGGACTATATTAGGATTAAAATAATGATGCAACCACTCAAAGCACCTCTTAGTCTTTTTCAGCAGATGCTGAGCCATTTTAAACTGAGCAATTCCCTAGTTATGCTCAAAACCTTATGAGAAAAAGCATTCCATTCTGAACCAAGAGCCTGCACGTGTTATTGAATTGTCTTCTGTACAATTTCAATTTATTTTCCAAGTTTTTGTTATAAATAAACATGTAAGCAGTGTATTCAGATGGCCATTAACTTTTGTGTTTGAACTTCAAACTATTAGGTTACACTCCCTCAAACTAGCAATAAAGCAGTCTCTGGGCAAAATCTGACTGTAAAAATCTAAGGCACTTAGGAAATTTTTAATGAAAATATTATGAGCAAGTAAAAACGGAGGATTATAACAGAATTTGACCTTGTAATTATCACCAAAATGTGAATGGGAAGAATGGAAAAATGCCAGAAAAGGAACACCACTCAGCCTTACAATACATTTAATATTACAGCTTATTGACTAGTAAGATTACCTTGCAGGAGCCATCCAATAAGTTTACATCCAGCCATTTTTTGTTCATCCCTGAAAACAATGGTGAAATACTCTTTTAAGCTGGTTTATTACATTCATGCCACCATATTACTGGGCATAATGATCCTAAGCAACAGATTCAAGACACTATCATATACTTCATTTAGGAAAACCAAGAAAACCAAGAAAACACCAGACAGTAGCAGCAACTAAAGATTTTTGAGGACTTTGAAAATAGCATGGTTATGTGTGAATTTACAAAATATTTATTATGACTAATAGTTGGGCTTTGGGGGCTTGTTTGCAGTTACTTTTTTTCCTCCAAAGATCAGAGTAAAATTATGAGAAAAAATAAGCTTGACATACTGTCAAAGAATAAGGAGAAAATAAATATGACTGTTTCATCATCAAGCATCTGAAAGTCAAAAGAAGCTATCCAAATTAATTGGTGAGAGGTCTCTAAGATTAATATATAATCTTTAGCTCAGTACCCTTGTGTTAATCTTTGGACTAGACTTCACTGTGCCTGCTGCTTCTTCTCCCTTCTCTAGAGGTGGCTATTGGGGGTGACGTGCCCCCACTTCTATACAGGGCAAAGACTCTTGCAGGTGCCAACTCACTTCCTACTTAAGATTTAAACTGGGTAAGATAAGAAAACCCCATAGTCTTTCACCAAAAAATTTATGAAATCTGGAAAAGTCTTTACAAAAGAGCTCTTTCCATCTGCAGCTCGCCCTCTTCTGAGTACGTCGACTCCATTTGAACCAGAGAAAAAGATGTCAAAATACCAAAACTGACAGAGGTAGGTCACAAGCAAAGCTCAGTGAATCCATCACCTGTTATTAGGCTGTTAAAAATGTTTTGTCACTGCACTTGCAAGGACATGAATTGATCTTTACCACATACTTGAAGAACAAAACACATTTCTATCCAGAAATGCAGGCAAGGGATTTTGCCACCCTGTGAAAAACTTGTACTTTTTGTTGTTGGTGTTGTCGGGATTTGTAGTGATGACAAAAATAAGCTAAAATTTAAAACCCTGCAGTAAACGAAATTGTCTCCCAGAACAAAAAAATTGGGTAATTTTTAAAACATTTTGTGGTTTAATTATTTTTAAAAAAACTATTTTAAAAAAATCATAAATTGTTTAAAAGCAAAATATCGCTGCATTTACAAGTACCAGAGCAGATTGTTCTTATTTTTTCCTGACAAGAACCATTACAACTGAATGGCTTT